ATATAATATATAGTTATACCAACATATGATAGTATCAGGAGTTACTAATGCATGCGTTATGTATTATATATGATTAGCTCTTTGTGTGTCAGAATGTTCCGTACGTGTCAGAATTCCGAATCATAGAGATGATAAAGTTAGTAATCAACACGTTATATGCTCACCTACATTCAAAATTATTATGAAGATATTATAAATATATATTATATAAATGCTGTTACTGGGATTTTCTCCGCTATACTTGTATCTGAATTTTAATGTATCATAAACCAACAACAGATAACAATGCACCGGATAACTGTTCAAACTTATTTAAATATCAACTTGTTTTTTCCCAACTGTTAGTATTTCACAAAAGAGCGAAAATAAGAAGGTAAGGGCAAGATTTCGGCACGAGCGCATATTAAATAAATTGATGGAGCAGAGCGATTCCCTAGCACATCCATTTCCCTAGCATTAAGTTACCTCATCCTAACCCGACGCCATACTGCAAGCAAGCACCAGCGTTTCCATCATTCAAGAATCAGACAAACCATGAATACTCGTTATATAACCACTTATAACAAACCTGTAACGATCTCATCTCGCATCGCGAAACGAACACAGACAAATGCACAGGCAATGTTACAGCTGTAGCAATGTTACAGCTGTAGCAATGTTACAGCTGTAGCAATGACTGTTGATCAGACAAAACCACAGACACTTGCAACGTTTTCATAACAAAATGATGGCAAATAAACACGAAATTTATTCACTACTAAAGTCTTAATGTTTCCGTAATTCTGCAAATTCCGTTCAAATGCTCCTCTGCAATGCACAAGTACACCGCGGTTAAATTATATAGCGCTTTTACCCAATCAGAGGCCTTGTTACACATAATTTAACCGCGGATAAATCGTTTTTTATTGTGGTTAAATTATAATGAACAAGGCCTCTGATTGGGTGAAAGCGCTATAATTTAACCGCAGATAAATTATTTTTACTGCGATAAAAATAACTGTATATGAGTCGTGTTTGTTCTAGAACAATAATCGATTAGTTTACTCAACTCTCCAAATTCCGAACGCCCTCAAAACCGAATCTGACGTTCAACCGGGCGGTTTCTGAAGTGATATACACTGATATATACATCATCTGATAAATGTAAGATATGCCTGGAATAGTCCCCCTATAAAGCGAACTTCATAGAAACCCCAACTGAATTGATGCTCCCATGGGTGTGGTCGGTATTGGTACTGTATAAACAAGGTTGCTATACATCATCTTTGAACACGGGTATTGATAAATCACTTGGGGTTCGTATCTGTCCAACTATAACAGATCTACGAGTGGCCTCGTAGTACTGTGGTAAACATGCACAACCTACTGCTTTCACCTCAAGCATAGCGTACAGTGACTCGGTGCCTTTACATAATACAATAAACTTAACACGTACAAGCAATACATTCAATCAACGCGGGGCAAGTTTACATATAACAACGTACTGTACATTTAGTTAACACGACAAACAGCCAGTCTTACTGAATAGAACTGCCAAACGCCCAAATTACATTAGCAACTTTGCAAGCTATTTCACGTGAACAAACTAAATCAACCACAAAACAATTGAGCAGCGATAAGGACAATAAGGTGGTAGCAGCCGGCTGAAAGGTGCGATAGGATAGGTTTACTAGGCACTTCTAATTTTAACATATATTTTACGATATATTGAAGAATGATGCAAAAACCCTAAAAAGTGCCCTAACCCTAACCCTAACCCTAACCCTAATTAAATTTAAAATATATGTTAAAATTAGAAGTGCCTAGTAAACATATCCTATCCCACCTTTCGGCCGCTGCAAGGTGAGCAGTGGGAATCCATCTTTGAGACGAATAGCATTTACCTTAAAAAATATAGCAACGAACAAATTAATACTATTAACTGCTAACCAACGTACAGCGCATTAATTAAATATGTCTCTCGTTATGTGTGTGTGCATCGTCACCACTCCCCAGGCAGACGTATACAAATACCATCGATAACAAAATCTAACCCCTTGACTCCCAACCCTCCCCCATCCCAATTACTCACCCTCCCAAAATGAATATTTATAACAACAATAACTAGGCATTATTCCCTGTGCATTTTGAGAGCACTGCTTTGCATGCGGTTACGTATATATACAATACCTATACAGTTTTGATTATGGCGGGATGATTTCCACAGTCCCTCACTCACCGTGAGACTGCAACCCTCCTCTATGTGAGTAAGACGTGGACAGACATACGGTGTGTAAGTCACAGACACACACGCACGCACGCACGCACGCACGCACGCACGCGCCGTATGACGCACGCCGGCACTGCCACAGCCACACGACGCACGCACGACGACCGCGGCAGCGCACGTATGGCACGGCACGCACGTATGCGCACGCACGTATGCGCCACGCCACGTAGGTGCGCCGCACGCACGCATGCACGCGCACGTATGCGCACGCACGCACGCATGCACGCATGCACGCACGCACGCACGCACACACACACGCACACACACATGCGCGCACGTGCACGCACGCATGCTCACACCCACACACACATCCACCACACGCACGCACGCGCACGCACGCGCACGCACACACACGCATGCACGCACGCACACACACATGCGCGCACGTGCACGCACGCATGCTCACACTCCCACACACATCCACCCACACGCACGCACGCACACGCACACACACGCATGCACGCACGCACACACACACATGCGCGCACGTGCACGCACGCATGCTCACACCCACACACACATCCACCCACACGCCGCACGCGCACGCACACACAGAGATGATGATCACTGATATTACAACTCCATCCTGGGATGCGCACGGCTCTTGGCGCGAAAAACATTTCGAAAAGGCAAGTCGTACCGCCGCGCTCCACAATCGATGCTGCTCCTGCTGCTGCTGCTGTGGTGGTGGGGGTGGTGGTGTTGGTGCTGCTGCTGCTGCTGCTGCGCGCTGTGGTGGTGGGGGTGGTGGTGTCGGTGCTGCTGCTGCTGCTGCTGCTGTGCTGCTACTGCTGCTGCGGCGGCGTCCTCCCCAATTACTCCCCAACCCCCTCCGCGACGGTCCGTAGAAAAAACAAGTTAGTTTTCAAGGCAGTTAGAGGCTTCTTCTTCTTGCGTCACTAGGCAGTTAGAGGTCATGTTGTTCTTTCGTTCACATGGGGGAGGTGTTCACTTTAAGCGCACTTTGTACGTGTTGATCTCCATGGGTTCTAGCTTGATTGAGCTCGATGCGGACTTATCTCCCAGGCTGTGCATCAAACGATAGAGTCGTCTCCTCAGCGTGTGCTATCTCAAGGTCCTTGAAGAGACCGCTCAACGCCACCTATTGGAGGCATAATGAAATTCTGACATGAATGAAAGAGGAAATGGATTGCTCAAAGAAAGCAATGTGGAAGAACCACTCATCTATACATAACTTGGTATATATATAACTTTATATAACTGATATATATATATATATATATATATATTATATATATGTATGAAAGAACACAACTTGCCGCAAGGAGAATGGAAAACAGACGACTAGGGAGAGTATCATGTATTTAAAGTTTTAAGACTACGATAATTGACTTGTCAGTTTATGAACAGCACAAACAAGTTTTTATTTGGGAAGGGATCATTGTTTTTTGACAACCACTCTGACAAATCACAACAGCCTGCTGTGATCACATGACTGTGACGTTGCAATCCCCCTTCCCCCAAGTCTATACACTGGTTTTAATTGGGCTGCATGTGTTAATAAACTGCATCAAAGCACAATTTTTCTTAAACCACTTACTAAAAACATTTAGCCCATTTACACGTAAGCAACAAATGCACGGGAAAACTGATACGCTAAAATGTAATTGTTAAAACTAATATGTTAGAACTACTATGTATATACTATATCTACGATGTTTAACACAGTAACATATTTAGATATAGTATAAAATAGTAGTAGAAACAATAATAGTACTAGTTAGTACTTTTAATTAGTAGTAGTAATAATTATATATTAATGCCTGCTGTTGGGGCAGCTATGAGAGCATAGTGCCCCCAACAGCAGGCATTAATGTTTTTAGTGCATCACATGACTATGCAATCTACTTTTCATGCTTATATACCTTCTTTATACTCCCTAATTTGCCGTGCATTCGATGTAACAAAACGTTCGACACGCTCAGGCGGCACTATTGCTTCATAGTGCCTGCTGCGTTATCCAATGAATTTCAACGATTTATCACGTGATGCCATAAATACTATATTTTAGCGTATCAGTTTTCCCGTGCATTTATATTTTATATTTTTGGATTACCTTGCCACCTGACACATCACATTGCATCGCCGCCGCGGGAAACTGCAGTCATGACCGAACCGGTGCAGCAACATGGCCGCCTCGTCCTTGGGCTGAAAGTCGTCTGCTCCTACCGGCTTCTCTTGCAACGTCCTGCGGAACGTAGGATGTATGAACGAATGTAAATGTAGAACGTTTAATTTGCTGTTCAGAGAAATCTGACGTTCATTGATAGGAATATGGACTAGTGAATATAGTGATTATTATTATAGTGATGCTAGATAAATATAAAATAATGCACTAAATAAAGAGTGAAGTATCGTTGTATCTCCTCACATTAGCAAGTCAGATAGCACCAACTTCTATGTATATATATATATATATATATATAGAAGTCGTTCGCCCCCTGGTGGAAGGGGGAGACACTACCTACCTCAGGTTGACTAGGTGTATGTCACATGGCAGTCCATCAGCGAGGCCGGCGTATCCGCTGAGCAGCGGCGTGTCGCGGTGAGCGACGTTCTGCGTTGCCATGACGATCGGATGCAGCATCGTCGCGCTGGACCAGTGACCGCAGCAACGATGGGAAGCTGACGCTAGTGTTGCTGCTGCTGCCTCCCCCAACCTGCCGGGGAGAGAGAGAGAGACGTCAGCGCGCGGGGGAAGGTGGGGGGAGGGGGAAGGGGGAACGCGACGATACTTTGGGCTGCTCAGGGACTGTTCGTTTCACTTATAAGCGTTCACATGATCGGTAGAGTAACGGTTGAGTGTACAGTTTGCGAGGTACGTTTCTGTGCATGGGTGGATCGCGATACGTATCGTGAAATGTGTATCGATAGACGTGTCACATCGTGAAATCGAAGGCTGTACCGTAATACATATCATATCGTAAAAGGTGTATTGTTATACGTGTTATATTATGAACGTTGTATCGTGGTATGGGGATCGTATCGTGAGCTACGCGTATCGTCGCGTCCCCTGGTTCGCGCGTCGCACACGACCATACCTTAAGCTTATCGACTCTGTCTCGTTGTCGTCGCTCGACAAGCAGACGGAACTTGTTAGCTGTTCTCTTGTTGTCGAGCAAGCCCTGCATCAAGCCTCGCTGATCGTCCTGCATTAGCCTCCGATCCTGGATCACCTCCAGTTGTCCTGCAACGATATACACGCGTGATGAGTGGCTAGACATGTTGTTCGTCGATACACACGCATGTTACATGATGTTCTAACAACTATGCGTTCTTCTTGGATACACATACAGTGAAACCCCGATTTTACGCTCCCCGGTTTAACGCGAATTCAGATATAAGGAGATGAGTCATTGAATCTTTATTTCACACCTAGACACGTTCTTCTTGGATACACATACACCACGTGCACATGCACGTGTTACATGATGTTCTAGCATCTATACGTTCATATCACACACATCTAGGCTTAGAATTTACGTTAGGGAGCAAAGGGCTACACGGGTAGAGCTATGTTGTTTGTATAGCTCTTCGCTCCCACTACAGGGATAAACAAACAACATAGATCTACCCATGTAACCCCTTCACTCCCGCTTCGGTCGTACATCTCTGTAGCTGTATACCTGTGTCGCGGCTCGTGGCCGTGAGTACAGACACACACGTGCTCTCACTCTTACATATAGCTTCATATAGCTTTATACCTGTGTCGCGGCTCGTGCATCCTAGGGCCTGTCCCGTGAGTACAGACACGCGTTGGCTCTCACTCTTACATATAGCTTCATATAGCTGTATACCTGTGTCGCGGCTCGTGCATCCTAGGGCCTGTCCCGTGAGTACAGACACGCGCGTGCTCTCACTCTTACATATAGCTTCATATAGCTGTATACCTGTGTCGCGGCTCGTGCATCCTAGGGCCTGTCCCGTGAGTATGGACACGCGTGTGCTCTCACTCTCCACGTACGCCATCGTGGACATCGGGTAAACGTCCGCCTGCAGCGGCATGCTGGGACGCGTCCTCCGCTTCTGCATCTAAAGCGACGATGCAAAAAAATGAAGGATGAGAATGAAATGTCATTGCGATCATCGGGGTAAAGGTGCCGAGTTGGCCACCCCTGCGGGTCGCTGGTAGAAAGGTATTGGCTTCAGCTAATAAATTTTAATTAGACAATCAATCAATTAATGGATTATTTAATTAATTAGCTATTAAAATTTTGGCTTCAACTAATAAATTTTAATTGATCAGTTAATTAATTTGTGAATTGATTAATTAGCCATTAGAGCTTTTAACTGTTAGTCTTAGTCGTAAGCTTCTGATAACTTTGTGTGTTATATTTTGTTGTTATAACTTTGTGTGATAATCACAAGTGTACCCCCTTATTATAAGTGATAAACACGCACACGCACACGCACACGCACACACACACACACACGCACACGCACACACACATATTATTTGAGGGTAGTTTTAAACCTGGAAGCCATTGAGGTCGGTGTAGAACTCCCTATTGTGATTCGTCACGTCGGTGTACACACGCATCACCAACTCCTTGTTCTTCTCAAGCTTAATATCGACCAGGTTAACTATGTCCAGCGACACTATATCCACACCTGCGCATAGCAAAGAACAAGACAAAGTCACGGTCATCTTTGCTTAATTAATTGGTAATTACTGAACGAGCACTATGTGTTGTTATATCACACTATATTCACTGACAGACTCAGGTTAGCTTCTGGCTGGTAATGTGTTATATGCATGACACGGTACGCGGGCAAAGCTGAAGTTCTTTCTTGAGTGCTAACTATGTAAGAGTAGCTTATAACGGCTTATTAACTTATAATTATTATAGCTTATGAACAGGACATCATAATTATGACAAGATCGTAGTAGTAGCAGTAGCAGCAGTAGGCTAGCAGCAGCAGCAGCAGGAGTAACAGCAACAGTAGCAGCAGCAGTAGCAGTAGTAATAGAAGTAGCAGCAACAACAGCAGCAGCAGTAGTAGCAGCACCAGCAGTACCACCACCACCACCAACAGCAGCAGCAGCAGCACCATCACCACCACCAGCATTAGCATCAGCAGCAGCAGTAGCGGCAGCAGCAGCAGCAGTAGCAGTAGCAGTAGCAGTAGCATCAGCAGCACCACCACCACCACCACCACCAGTAGCAGCAGCATCAGCAGTAGCAGCATACGAGCGCGCGTTCGATAATTTACAAATTGTTTAATTAATTAATTTGTTAATTGCCAACGGTGACAGTCAATGAGCGAACAGGAAGCACATCACAGCAGCTGCTTAGCTGAAGAACATCCAATATTCAACGTAGCGAGCGCACAGCGCCATCTACATTCGACAAGACACACTAGAGGCCACCTTGCGCCATGGTGATTCTCGGAGACTGACGCACGAGTCCTGTGAGAGTCACTGACGACACGGACCTTAATTATTATTAATTATAATTATTGATAACAACCGTGTAGCAAACGCTGCACTAATGAAAGCCTCTGACCACGTGACTCCATCAGCGGCGTATTTTTTTACAGGCGGGATAGTTTGCAACGACGGCGGCAGACGGACGCTTGCAGCTAGCGACGCCCCGACCCACGAACCACGTCACTTCTGACTCACCGGACGCGTGCCTACACTCGCTACATGAAATACTAGCTTCACACCACGATACGCGCTCACGGTCGCTTCTGCAAATATGGCGGCGTGCGTGCGTGCATGCGTGCGCGATCGCCAAGCGAAGCAACTGCCAGCAGAGGGTGCTGGTGAGGAGGGGTCACGTGCGCGACGGCAGACGTACTGACCTACGGCGTGCGGTCCTTGCTTCTCTGCGAGCGCACGAAGGATTCGATCGAACACAAAAACCGATAGAGAGGCGTTAGAGAGACACGCAACGTGGACAGGCTAGAAACACGGGTGACGATGAGAGACAGGTGACAGTGTGTCTAGTTGTTGTTAGGGGCTTTCAGCTACTTCAGCTTTTTGTTGCTGTTGGCCCGTCTGTCTGCCAGCAGCAAAGTTATCTGTTTTTACTACTCTGTGTAACTACCTAGCCGATTTTCTCATCATCATCTCTCATAACCAATATATAACCAATGTCAACTACCAGCAATATGATATATCAACAAATTAAAGCTGTGAGAATAAGAACATAACATATAACGAGAAGAAGAACATATAACGACCATACTATACAGCCTAACCGCAAGAACATCTCACGGTACAATTCAACTTTTTTGTTGGTATTTCGCTACCTCAAATTTGCGCGCGCACACACACACATACGCTCACGCACATACGTACGCACGCACGCACACAGACACAAACACACAGACACAAACACACACACGCACGCACGCAAACACACACCGACGCAGCAAGATGAAAACCGCGGCATGTATAGCCAGGCTACACCAATCTCTCGTTTGCTGCAAAACGAACCGGGTACTTCTTAGAGTGGCTAGCCTGTTACACAGAATCTTGGGAAATTTTAGGATGCACTCGATAATAGAAGCTGTGTTCTTTCTAAGCAGCACAATCATGGCAAGACATACTATCTATTTCCTTTACCGATATGTTACAACATTTCACCAACAATGTAGAACATTTCTCTATAAAAGTGTCAGAATCGTATCATTTCGTCTGCGAGAGGAGAAACGCAACTCTTCAAAATGCTAGAAAAATGCCAGGTGATGCAACAATTCGTTTACTCCGACGACAAAACGTGCGATCGACATGCAAGAAAACGCGTCTGCGTCTGCGACTATGACGACGACGAAGCGCCGGGTTTAGCGACGCGTTGCCGTTGACGACGGAATACTTACCCGGGGAGTTGGTGAGACGTACCACCTGCTCAACGTGCGGCAGAAAGACGTGAACCTCCGAGACGATGTTGCCTCGAACGACGCGCACGAGGGGAGCAGCGTAGACTAGAGGCTGCAACACACACACAACATGTGTCAACTACAGGCAAAATGTGTCAACTACAGGCAACATGTGTCAACTACATGCAACACACACTTCATGAGGGGTGCAGCGTAGACTAGAGGCTGTAACACACACACAACATGTGTCAACTGCATGTAACACACACACAACATGTGTCAACTACAGGCAACATGTGTCAAATACAGGCAACATGTGTCAATTACATGCAACACACACTTCATGAGAGGTGCAGCATAGACTAGAGGCTGTATCACACACACGCACACACGCACGCACGCAGGCGCACACACACACACGCACGCAGGCGCGCACACACACACACACACACACACGCACGCACGCACGCACGCACGCACGCACGCACGCATGCATGCACGCACGCAGGCGCACACACACACGTGTCAACTACAGGCAACAGTCGAGGAAAACATTTGTCTGAAGCGTTGCCCAGCCTATCGAACGAGACCGATGTTGATCCCCGCAATTTTCTCGGTAAACAGGAAGACAGGGGAGGAGTGGGAATAAGGAAAGTGGCAGTAAAGACGTCTATTATGGCTACGTAGGCGGAGCGAGCGTCTTGTGTCTGTGGATGCGCACCTTCGCCTCTCCGTCCGGAAGAAAGAGGTAGGCTCCACTCTTGTCCTTCGACTTCTCTCTCGTGCCGTACTTCAGAAACTCTAGTTCCGTCTTCACCCGAGTGTCATCCTCCTTTAATGTGACGGACTACGCAGAAGAAGAAAACACAGTTATATGTCATTGACCTTCAAGGTGACAGGGTAAGGTCATCGAAAACATAGATGTCACCCTCTTATAGTGTAATGGAGTAAGAAGGAATAAAAGATGACCTCTGACAAATGATTATTGTCGTTCAATGATACCATCAAAAGTTACCGAGTTTTTTTTTACAGCAGTCATTAACAGAGATGCGTGTGATCTATGAAATTTTGTGGTGATTCGGCTTCCTAGCAATTAAATATACTGTGTAGCTCCGAGGCGAAAAATCAACAACACATGTACTATGTCACTGTAAACACTGGTAATCGTGTGCAAGGTGACCACGCAGACATGCAGACCATGAAGTACACGAGAATTTGAACATGTAAGAATTGTTTTTCCAGTGTGAATGAGCCTTCCAAAGCTTGGCACGGGGTTGGATGGAGGTCACGAATCTATAGAAGATTAAAGAGCCGTTATCAAAAATATCGAAAACATTGTGAGCAGTTACGACTACCATATGTGTCAAATGTCATTTGCGACTGCTGTAGAATGATGATATTTACCTGCAGTTCACGTGCACGCACGCATGCTCACACCCACACACACATCCACCCACACGCACGCACGCGCACGCACACACAGAGATGATGATCACTGATATTACAACTCCATCCTGGGATGCGCACGGCTCTTGGCGCGAAAAACATTTTGAAAAGGCAAGTCGTACCTCCGCGCTCCACAATCGATGCTGCTGCTGCTGCTGCTGCTGTGGTGGTGGGGGTGGTGGTGTTGGTGCTGCTGCTGCTGCTGCTGCTGCGGCTGTGGTGGTGGGGGTGGTGGTGTCGGTGCTGCTGCTGCTGCTGCTGCTGCTGCTGCTACTGCTGCTGCGGCGGCGCTCCCCAACCCGCAATTACTCCCCAACCCCCTCCGCGACGGTCCGTAGAAAAAACAAGTTAGTTTTCAAGGCAGTTAGAGGTCTTCTTCTTCTTGCGTCACTAGGCAGTTAGAGGTCATGTTGTTCTTTCGTTCACATGGGGGGAGGTGTTCACTTTAAGCGCACTTTGTACGTGTTGATCTCCATGGGTTCTAGCTTGATTGAGCTCGATGCGGACTTATCTCCCAGGCTGTGCATCAACGATAGAGTCGTCTCCTCAGCGTGTGCTATCTCAAGGTCCTTGAAGAGACCGCTCAACGCCACCTATTGGAGGAATAATGAAATTCTGACATGAATGAAAGAGGAAATGGATTGCTCAAGGAAAGCAATGGTGGAAGAACCACTCATCTATACATAACTTGGTATATATATAACTTTATATAACTGATATATATATATATATATATATATATATATATATATATATATATATATATATATATATATATATATGAAAGAACACAACTTGCCGCAAGGAGAATGGAAAACAGACGACTAGGGAGAGTATTATGTATTTAAAGTTTTAAGACTACGATAATTGACTTGTCAGTTTATGAACAGCACAACAAGTTTTTATTTGGGAAGGGATCATTGTTTTTTGACAAACCACTCTGACAAATCACAACAGCCTGCTGTGATCACATGACTGTGACGTTGCAATCCCCCTTCCCCCCAAGTCTATACACTGGTTTTAATTGGGCTGCATGTGTTAATAAACTGCATCAAAGCACAATTTTAACATTTACTAAAAACATTTAGCCCATTTACACGTAAGCAACAAATGCACGGGAAAACTGATACGCTAAAATGTAGTTGTTAAAACTAATATGTTAGAACTACTATGTATATACTATATCTACGATGTTTAACACAGTAACATATTTAGATATAGTATACAAATAGTAGTAGTAACAATAATAGTACTAGTTAGTACTTTTAATTAGTAGTAGTAATAATACTATATATTTTAGCGTATCAGTTTTCCCGTGCATTTATATTTTATATTTTGGGATTACCTTGCCACCTGACACATCACATTGCATCGCCCGCGCCGGGAAACTGCAGTCATGACCGAACCGGTGCAGCAACATGGCCGCCTCGTCCTTGGGCTGAAAGTCGTTTGCTCCGACCGGCTTCTCTTGCAACGTCCTGCGGAACGTAGGATGTATGAATGAATGTAAATGCAGAACGTTTAATTTGCTGTTCAGAGAAATCTGACGTTCATTGATAGGAATATGGACCTAGTGAATATAGTGATTATTATTATAGTGATGCTAGATAAATATAAAATAATGCACTAAATAAAGAGTGAAGTATCGTTTGTATCTCCTCACATTAGCAAGTCAGATAGCACCAACTTCTATGTATATATATATAGAAGTCGTTCGCCCCTGGTGGAAGGGGGAGACACTACCTACCTCAGGTTGACTAGGTGTATGTCACATGGCAGTCCATCAGCGAGGCCGGCGTATCCGCTGAGCAGCGGCGTGTCGCGGTGAGCGACGTTCTGCGTTGCCATGACGATCGGATGCAGCATCGTCGCGCTCGACCAGTGACCGAGCAACGATGGGAAGCTGACGCTAGTGTTGCTGCTGCTGCCTCCTCCAGCCTGCCGGGGGAGAGAGAGAGAGAGAGGAGCGTCAGCGCGCGGGGGAAGGTGGGGGGAGGGGAAGGGGGAACGCGACGATACTTTGGGCTGCTCAGGATGTTCGTTTCACTTATAAGCCGTTCACATGATCGGTAGAGTAACGGTTGAGTGTACAGTTTGCGAGGTACGTTTCTCTTGAATTAACGCGATACGTATCGTGGAAGGTGTATCGATAGACGTGTCACATCGTGAAATCGAAGGCTGTACCATAATACATATCATATTCGTAAAAGGTGTATTGTTATACGTGTTATATTATGAACGTTGTATCGTGGTATGGGGATCGTATCGTGAGCTACGCGTATCGTCGCGTCCCTGGTTCGCGCGTCGCACACGACCATACCTTAAGCTTATGACTCTGTCTCGTTGTCGTCGCTCGACAAGCAGACGGAACTTGTTAGCTGTTCTCTTGTTGTCGAGTAACCCCTGCATCAAGCCTCGCTGATCGTCCTGCATTAGCCTCCGATCCTGGATCACTCCAGTTGTCCTCCGCAACGATACACACGCGTGATGAGTGGCTAGACATGTTGTTCGTCGATACACACGCGTGTTACATGATGTTCTAACAACTATGCGTTCTTCTTGATTTACCACATACAGTGAAACCCCGATTTTTACGCTCCCCGGTTTAACGCGAATTCAGATATAAGGATGATGAGTCATTGAATCTTTATTTCACACCTAGACACGTTCTTCTTGGATACACATACACCACTGCACATGCACGTGTTACATGATGTTCTAGCATCTATACGTTCATATCACACACATCAGGCCTTAGAATTTTACGTTAGGGAGCAAAGGGCTACACGGGTAGAGCTATGTTGTTTGTATAGCTCTTTCGCTGCCAATACAGGATTAAACAAACAACATAGATCTACCCATTGTAACCCCTTCACTCCCGCTTCGGTCGTACATCTCTGTAGCTGTATAACCTGTGTCGCGGCTCGTTGCCGTGAGTACAGACACACACGTGCTGCTCACTCTTACATATAGCTTCATATAGCTGTGTACCTGTGTCATGGCTCGTGCATCCTAGGGCCTGTCCCGTGAGTACAGACACGCGGTTGGCTCTCACTCTTACATATAGCTTCATATAGCTGTATACCTGTGTCGTGGCTCGTGCATCCTAGGACCTGCTCCGTGAGTACAGACACGCGTGTTGCTCTCACTCTTACATATAGCTTCAATAGCTGTATACCTGTGTCGCCGGCTCGTGCATCCTGGGCCTGGTCCCGGGTGAGTATGGACACGCGTGTGCTCTCACTCTCCACGTAGGCCATCGTGGACATCGGGTAAACGTCCGCCTGCAGCGGCATGCTGGGACGCGTCCTCCGCTTCTGCATCTAAAGCGACGATGCAAAAATTGAAGGATGAGGATGAAATGTCATTGCGATCATCGGGGGTAAAGGTGCCGAGTCGGCCATCCCTGCGGGGTCGTGGTGAAAGGTGTTGGCTTCAGCTAATGAATTTTAATTAGACAATCAATCAATTAATTAGATTATTTAATTAATTAGCTATTAAAATGTTGACTCAACTATAAATTTTTTTATTAATAAGTTCATTAATTTGTGAATTGATTACTTAGCCATTAAGCTTTTAGCTGTTAGTCTTAGTCGTAAGCTTCTGATAACTTTGTGTGTTATATTTTGTTGTTATAACTTTGTGGTGATAAGTGTATTATAACAACGTTAATCATCATCATAGAAGCACTGATGACATTTTGACAATGACAATAATCCTCCGATCTTTCGGGTAATTAAGCTGTGATATCTGTCAGTATTCGTCACTGTTACTTTAACAAGTGCCAAGCACTAACACGCGTGTATAACTTAATACATGTGCACGCGTGCGAGAGTTCTGAACAGATGCGCATGAATGATTTCACGGATGATTTACACGAGTGTTTTACACGAGTGTTTTTTTATGTACGACAACGCATGCAGATATATTGAATATAAAGTGAATATCAGGTAGGATGGGTGTGTGTGTGTAGTACTGTAGTATAGTAGGATGTGTATGTATGTGTATGTATAAGCGTATGTGCGTATGTGCATGTATTGGTTATAGTAGCGTATTTATAGGTATGTGTTATAGTAGTGTTATAGTATGTGTATGTATGTGTATGCTGTATGTATGTGTATGTGTATGTCAGTAGTATGTGTATGTATGTGGTATGTATTGTGTATGTAGTACTATAGTAGTGTAG